CCCAAACCATTCTATGATTCTATGAAAAGCCGATTAGCCTCAATGAAAGAGAGTCTTTTAAACATCAGGCCTCTTTGTCTGAGGAATGTACTATTGTCAACTTATTTGTGGGAGTAGGGAAAAAACCAACTGTGAAGTAAGTAGCTTGGGTTCATTAGGTCGATGGAAATTGTTAAAGCACAGTTTAAACCAAAATCCTGGGTAATATAATGCAACAGTGTAGAATCAGGATAAAGGATGAACTGGTGGTCTGGTAGAATCCATGGTAAAATGTCCTTTGATTTCTTTGGAGTAGGTATTTTACCTGATGGACTTTTATATACAGTTTCCCATGAAAAAAATATGTTAAGAGCAGAGGCAATAACTGTAGGTTGTGTTGCCTAATCCCCTTTATAACAGAGAGAACCTCCTGAAATGAACTCCTGTTTTAATTCCAGTAGTTTGCAGCAATACTTGAACAATGTTCAGTGGTATTCAGAAAAAACCTTGGCAAATAATCTTTCAGTTCTCATAAATTTTTTTTTTCCTTTTTAAAAATTTTTTTCTTCCTGGGTTTGGATGCCAGAACTGGACAGCAGATTCTGTTCACTTTGGAATCGGATAGGGAGATAAATATTTAATTCTTTATTATTTTTTTTCACTGTATTTGTGTTCAAGGACTCCAATGTTACTTTCAGCCGCAGAACTGCACTAGGAGCCCTTGTTCAGCTGGTTGTGGATCATGACCTTGGTCTAGCTTTTCAGAACTGCTTGCAAACTTCAACCCTCTAGCCAGGAAGCATGGCCTGTATCTTTTGCTTCAATTTATTTTTTACATATATGTATATATTTTTATATTTATATATTTTACTGTGTTGAAACATCGATTGGTTTCTTAGGCCCAGTTTATCAACCAGTCCAGGCCACTGGGTATCAGTGCTATGTTTTTTCTTGATTTCTGTCCCTTCTAGTCTTTGTACCATGGTAAACTTTACTTACTGCTTTTGTGTTTCCTTCTAAGTATTACGAAAGAACTAAAGAGTTCTAGGACAAGGATGAAATCCTGAGAAGACAGCTGGATGGCGATTCTGTGTTTACAGTTACATTCTGAGATCTCTGATATTTTTTTTCCGTGTCAGTGCTTTATATTGTGTTGATTTTTTTTAAAAATTATTTTAGAATGTTCCCTAGAACAAAGTCAAATACTTCAGAAACTTTGAAATCTGATACAACTGTACTGTTAGCAAATTCATAATGTCATAAAAGATGATACTGTGTTAGTTTGAGAAGTTCTATTTCCAACAAACAGTATTATATTATCTCCCTCCTTAAAATTTTTGGCAAGTCAGTTCTTTTATTACCAATGCTGTTATGTTGTCATAAGTTAAGTGTGGCAGTTAGTTTTCCTTATAGTTGCGTGAGTTATCCTTTATAAAACATCAGCACAGAATTAGTTTTCTTTCTGTCTGCTGGAAACTTCTTGAGCATTGCAAAGTATTTAGAAGTCAGTGTTGCTGGTCCAATGATCAATGGTTATTTAAAAATAAATTCTTTATAAATAAAGTATCTGGAGAGATTTAGAATGGGTAATTTCAGTATTAATAGTTAGTTTTTTTTTTTAAGTGAAGTAGCATGAATTACTTCTTAAATCAGTGTACTGTCTATTGGTGTTTTTTTCCTCGAATGTTGATAATAACTGTTTTTTGAACAATTGTACTTTACTTGTAGGCATTATTGATAGTTTTTCTGTTTTCACGGTCAGTGTTTTTATTACAATTCACTTTACAATGTTGTCTTGCATTCTGCTGGCTGTCTGTCTCTTCCCCTCTAGCTTCTAGTTGGTATTAGTAGTTTTCATACACACATTCTTATTGGTAGAGCTAAAATTACTACTTGTCTAAATTGGGATGTTTTCTTATCTTTCTATAATTAAAGCAACACCTGCTTTCTTTATTTGAGGCATTTTTTAATAGCTCGTGGATGTTCCTAAACAATTCCTTTGCTTGTTCAAAATTCTCCTGGATGGTTTAATTTTCAACTTTTGAAAAGTTGATCTTTTTCAAAATGCAAGATATAATAAGCCACTAGTCAGTTATGTATTATGTTTATGCATACCAAATCCAGTTAAGTAATTAATTGCATATATAAGATTTTGGTTCTGTGATTACATCCTTCAATTTCTTCATATACTGTGTTGAAAGATGGCTTTCACAGTCATGTCAGGCTGAAACAAAGAATATGTAAACCAGTGAGTTCATTATTCTCTAGCAATAATTTTTTATCAGTTTAATTTATAAGACTTAATTGGAACTAATCTTATTTTTCAAGTACAAGTGAGAGGTGATGATTCATGCCCTATAATTATTCTTTTGTTCTCAGTTTATTACTAGAAATGTTTATTTTTAGAGGGTAACTTATTATTCACTATCTTTTGGTATTCTAGGTCTTTAAGTATGGCATTTTCAGGCAGAGCTCCATTTTAAGGAGAGAAAAGGCTATACGCATGTAGTAGAAATCAGTAAAATGATCTTAAATTTTTCACATCATTCCTCCTTTAAGTCATGTAATAAACATTTTTCTAGAACATCCATATGCTCAGTAATGAACATCTCCAAAAGAGATCACAGATTTTGGTGTCACGTTCTAGCTAACTGAAAACACCTTGGTTCCATATTCAGTGGTATGTAGGCTTTTGCTGTGGAATTATGCATGTGACCTACAGAAAATCTCAGTATGGGCCCGCTGCACTTTCACAGTGTCAACCAGGAACTGATGTACAGAAACATCAGAGATGTAAGGTATTTGTAGTAGAATTTCATGGATTTAGCACCGTTTTTGGCAGCAAAATGGTTTTACCTGAATAAGAATTTCTTATTCTTGCCTGGCAGATCACCACTTTTATAGAGTTAATTGCAGACTGAAGAGCAGAAGGTGTAGTGGGGTCATTTTATGCAGCAGTTAAGCTTTCCAAAACATTGTATTTTTGAATCCCAACTTGGCGGTGATACTTCATTGAAGTAATGCTTCCCATTTCTTTGGTATGGTATTTGTACACAACCTATTGATCAGTTCCTGTGGATCGCATTATGGGTACGTTTGGATATGTAACATCATTCCTTTGTTTTTCTGTATCAGGCCAAATAAGTAACACAGAATCAGAGTTGAAGAAACTTGCAGAAGAAAATCCAGACCTTCAAGATGCCTATATAGCAAAACAGAAGCGCCTTAAAGTAAGAAACCCCTTTGTATTCCCTCTCTTTATCATGGGCTTGTTAGTGTCAGATTTTTTCTGTCATGATGTAAACATTTGTTTCACCTGTCATTACCAGTAATGTCATGCAGTGGTTTAACCCTACAAGGCATGAAGCAGTGTGTCCCCCAGATCAGCTACACGCTTCAAGTGTGTGCTGAAGTATTGGACTGGTCCAACTGACTTCAAAGGTATGTACGCATCAGTGCTGGTGTTGGGCTGTTGAGCACCCTGCAGGGTGAGGCAAACCTCGATATCTAGCATCCATAATGTTTTTCTTCTGTTGTCTGGATTGTGACCGGTATCTAAATGGTATCCAGCTGACCATGTGAAGAAAATAATCACATTTTATAAATAGGCACTGTAGTATCTAAGTAAAAATTTCTCTGATAAAAGTATGAACTCTGTACAATGATTAAAACACTAACCTGTATATATATATTTAGTCTAAACTGCTGGATCATGATAATATAAAATACCTAAAGAAAATACTGGATGAACTGGAAAAAGTTTTGGATCAGGTTGAGACTGAATTACAGCGGCGAAATGAGGAAACACCAGGTAAGGAATCATTCTTGCTAAATCCTGTTGATGCTTATGTTTGGGAAGACTGAGTAAACTTGTTGACAGCACCATTATAGAACTGGTTTTAATGTATCCAGTTTGATACTTTTAGCAAATGTTGATCTAACATCACAGAAGGGGTCAATTCTGTTTTAAATACTAGTTGGATTTATTGCTGCTGTCAGTGAGTTCTCACTGTTTTATGAGAGCACTTGATCACATTTTCAGTGTAGTGAGTATAATTAGCTGCACAATTTAGCAATATTTAATGAACAAAATAAGAAAAACCTTAACTACAGAATGGCATTCTTGGTGTTGTAGATGTAGGCCTCGGTTCACTGTAATGATCATGACCTTAATGTTTAACACAGGTTTATGACAACCTTGTGTACTGTGCTGATATTTGTGGTACATGCAGAATTAGCAACCTGGATAAGTGCTCTAATCATTAAGCAACTCCTCTCCCCAACTCTCTTGGAAAGCAGTGGTGTTTACCTGCCATCCACCCAAATGAAAGTCAAATTTTGTTTGAATGGGATTAGTCTTCTGCTTATTCAGAGTCTCATCCAGCTCCCAGTGGTGCTAATAGGAATCCTTCCTCTGACTTCACTGGGAGCTGCATGAAGCATCAGTCAATATCAACTGCATCTGCTCAAATTAATAACTATTTGCATTTGGCTCTATAAATAGCTGTTGTAATAATTATCAGTTACTATCAAGACAGTAGATTTGAACCAGCAATTTAAAATCTAGGTTAAATTTTCTACTGACTCAACAGTGAAAGAGTCACAGAAAATGTTTTAACTCATAAAGGATGGAAGGGTTTTGTTCAGCAAAGTCTGTCGCTATTTCCAGCAGCCCCTTTGCTTTCTCTGCTAAATAGCCTTCCCAAGTAGTCAAATGATACAATATTGATGAGCTTATGAAAACCACCAGTATCACAGGATTTGGTAAAACATATGGCTATTACCTGCCTCTTGGAATTTTGTCTGTGGTGTTGCCATATTTGATGTTTGTGAACAATGCTCCTCCAGGTCCTCGTCTACCTCTGAGCTTCTGCTTCTCTTGCTACTGCTCAAATCTCTCATTCACTTACTGCTGCTGCCACTACAGGCATGTTTCTTACATACAGATTGGCTTCTTTGGTCTTCCTTTCCATCATCTTACTTAATGCACTGGATGAATCCCCAGTGTCCAACACAGGATACACTCATTCTCTGCAGAGGCCTTTCTTCCAGACCTGCATAACTGGGCAAAATGGACTGGTACCAGCAGTGTGCCAAACTGTGGCTTTTCTCCAGTGGCAAATTATTTGAAAGGGACATTGCAAAATTTCTCTGTTTTCACAAAGTTGTTGCTGAACATTCATGCCAGTGGTTTTGTGTGCCTGTTGTGTGAAGAACTGCAAAGGGTTGCAAATGAGGAGGGAACGGCATAGTTTGAGTTCTAGGCTAGAACAGAGTGCTCATGCTGGTAGCTATGCTAACTATCAAATTTCATATCCTGCATTTCAGAAGCTCTCAGTGTACTCAGTACGGGTAAGCTCTTTCAGGTGGTGGTGCTTCAGATCACTGAAGTTAGAGGTGTGATGCTGCCTGGCAGTGTCTGCTCTGAGCCATCCCAGGAGGATTCACTCCTTTCCTTTGACTGGAGAGGGAGCCTGGGGTCTCCCATCTGTGCTCCTGACTAATGGTGGGCAGTGTGAATATCCACTGCTTCTCAAACTTCTCAGTGTAAAAACACCAGGGTTTGGGGTCTAGGAGGCTTGATGAAAGGACGGGTAGAGAAACTCTGTCTTCTCTCTGAGCTGGTGTGTTTGGTGCAGGTCAGTCATCTGACCTGTTTCTTTTTGACTTGAAAGTCTCCAGCAAATTCACAGTTCTTGAGTGAATGCCATAGAGCTGAGTGACACACGCAAGACGATAAATTCTTCGGGCAAGTGGTAGCTTTTCAGTAATATTCCTCCTTTCCACTCCTGTTTAATATGATCCAGGTTTGAGAGATGTAGCTGAGGAAAATAAGTATTTACTGTGGGTTTTAATTTATGAACCTGATAACGTGGCTCTTTTTTTCTTGACAAATGCAGGCCAGGCTGCTGAGCCTAAGACTTTACAATATTGTGTGAAGAATGGACAGGGATTAATGAAATATTAATTGATTAAATTAATATCTTAGTGTTGGTGGTGTTTATTAGACAGCATTTTGAAATAGCACTAAACTTGTATTGGAGGCTTGTATTCTGTTAGTTCCTAATTCTTTATGTTTTATCTCTGCTTAGAAGGTGAAAATGAGCCTTGGCTTTGTGGTGATTTCTTCAGTCTGGCAGATGTATCACTTGCCGTCACATTACATCGCCTGAAGTTTCTGGGATTAGCAAGAAGAAACTGGGGAAACGGAAAGCGGCCCAACTTGGAAGCCTATTATGAGCGTGTCCTGAAGAGAAAAGCATTTTACAAAGTTTTAGGACATGTCAACAATATATTAATCTCAGCTGTTTTGCCAACGGCTTTCCGTGTGGCCAAGAAAAGGGCACCCAGAGTTCTCTGCACTACCCTGCTGGTCAGCATGCTGGCGGGAATGGGTTATCTTGCTTTTGTGTGTCTTCGGAAGAAGTTTCCCAACATGACATTATTGATTAGAACCAGGCAAAATTGTTTTTAGACCCATCTGTCCCTGGTGGGGGCATATCTACCCCCCCCCCCCCCAGCAAGAAACCCCCCGTGGGGGGGGCTATCCCCCCCCCCCCCCCCCCAGGAAGATACCCCCAGTAAAATATAAACATAGAAGAAAGGTTGTATCTGTGAATTAGAACATTGTCACACAGTAATCGTCTCCTGCTGTTGCATAATTGGATTGGCAATGCCAAGCCTTTTGTGGAAAAGAGATGTTGGGGGGACAAAAAAAGAAAGAGGAGACTTTCTTTTCGGATGAGGAGCTATAAGGGGTGAGAGAGTGCTTTGTTAAGGTGGTTATTGTCTCCTTTACCCAGCAGCTGACCTAATTATTATGCTTTTATTTAATAGATATGCAGCAATGTGACAGCTTTTCACTTTGGGTGAAATGCATTACTGTGCAGAAACCAGCATTGTTGAAATAATGAAAATAGCACTTAGTTTAAATGCTTGAAGTAGGATTTAAGTAGAACATAGGCTCTGTGCCTGTTGTGTACGGGAGTGAGTGTCCCTGTGCTGATTAATGTGTATTGATTTGCAGCTGGACCTTAGGAATGTGTTAAAAAGTGGTCTTGTGTTGCCACTTTATGTTCATGCAGTAGTACAGAAAGAGATCTGAACCCTGTATGAACATCAGTGGTTTGTGGGTCACACAAGTTGAATTCTCCAGAGGCATCAGCAGTCAACAGATGCTAGACATCTGCTGAAATACAAATGGGAGTGAAAAACCTGATACTTGTCTTTTGAAAGCCTTTTGGGTAGCCTTCGGCCCAGCCAGGTACCCAGCTCAGCCTGTCTGAGTCAAACCAAACTATCTCAGTGCACATTTTCTGCTGTCATTGGGGTGGCTTCATACAGTTGTTTCCGTATCAGTGTGCCATGGACCCTTTCTTGCTTCCACTCTGTGCACTGGCTATTTTTTGCACACTACTTGGCTATGTTAGCAATTGCATGTGCCTCTATGAAATGTTTGCCCACAATATGCCACAGCCAATGGGGAAATGTATGCACAAGAATGCATTTTGTAAAAGTAGTAGTAGCCTAGATTGAAGGTGAAACTGCAGTGTAGCAATCTGTTTACTTATGGAGAAGTGTCATATTGGTGGTAAGTGAAAAATACACTCAGTTTGGAGACAGATGATTTGTAGTGCAGATTTTTTGCAAAGCTGCACTCTTGTAGCATGTAGGAAAGGTATAGAAAAACACTTTGTTTACTTCTCACTGCTCAGCAGATGCTGAGAGTTTTATTGGGTTTGAACTGAGCTCCCGGTTTAATGAGAAATGCACATTCGCCTGAGAGTAGACATTGAATAATTTTGCAGCAAGAAAGCAATCAGGAAGGGCTGAAAATTCTCATGACAGTTTAGTAAGATCTTTGTATTCTTGATGAATGTTTGAAAGCCTCAGAGTTTTGTTTACAAGCTGTAGATAACTGCAACAAGCAAAACATAGCTTTAAATGTTTGGCTGTCAACAACCAGCACTAACAGGCCCAAGTACATTTTAGATCCAGTGCTGGTGGCTGTGGTCTCTCTGCACAGTTGCTTCTGAGCATCAAGAAGATCCTCTCTCAAGTTTGCAGGAGAGAACTGAGGCAGTTTCTGTCTGGGCAGGCTCACCATCTAGCAGGTAGCAAAATGTCTACAACTGTTGAATACTCCTGCTTATAATTTAATATTGTACTAGTTGTCTAGCAAAAGAAGACCTAAATCTCATTGCTCCTTATCAGTAAAAAAAAAGTCTTACCTAAGGAGCGATGCTTTTTTTTTATTTGTCAGAAAGACAGTTTCATGTAATTCTATTTCATGACCCAGTTGTTCTCAAGAACTTGTTGAATTAAATGTGCTCTATTTAGAAAAGCTATATTATCTTTAGAGTAAGTTTAATCCAACAATACTGTTAATCTCCTGGCAGCTGTAACTGAGTTTGTAGTTTGTGTTTTGCAGTTCCTCGGCATTTACTTGTAACCAACAGATTCCACTAAGTTAATAAACACAGAGTAAGGCCTCTAACTTATAGCGTTCCCTGGCCTGTCAGGCCATCTGTAAAATATAATCTGATCAAGTCACAGTAAAATTCAGTATATATATGAATTAGCTTTCTTTAGAATTAATTTGTATTTTCACATTTCCTTCATCTTTTTTTTTTTTTTTTTTTAATGTGTTAGTTCTCGGTAAGAACACTTACATTCCCAGAGGTGTGCCAGTTTAGCTCACCCTGGCAGCCCCTGGGGGCTGTGACACGGTAATGACCGATGAAGCCGTTTCGCTTCCCCCGACCCTGGCTGATCTCTGGGCTCCAACCAGCGCCGCTGCCCGCGGGAGCTGGGGGAAGGCCCGAGATGGCCGCCAGGTGTCAGCGCGCCTCCAGGCCTGCGCCCCGGCCCGCCTCGGTAGGCAGGGAAACACGAGTTTTCACAAACAAAAACGTTCGTGAGCTCAGCGTAAGATAGATGTGAGTGTCCTCATCAGCCTAGTAGTCTCTCAAGAGCTCTTGAAACAACTGCTTTGGTCTAGTACAGACTGGCTCTCTGGTGCCTGTCGTGTGTGCTTGTGTGTGGTTCACACTGGATAAATAAGGCGGCAAAGCTGACATAATATTTCACATTAAAATGGATGTCACTGAACTTGTTGTCTGCAGGAGTGAACGTGGATAAAACTTTTACTGTGGAAAAGTTTGGATCCCTAGTTTAGTTGGTGTGTGTTGGTTCAGCGGTTTGATAGCAGCGTACTGACTTTCACTGCCCTGTGTACTCTGTGCGACATCCATTTCTGGGCAGGTGGCAGCAAAAGGCTTATCCATGATTAAATTCCTCAAAATAGGATGAGATTGAGAAGCACATAGGCTGTATATGGCTTTTTGTGCAAGACAGCTTTTGTGTGGTGCTTGTCAAGTTTCTTTTCACCCTGGCTTGTTTTCTTTGCTGTTCTACTCCTGTATACTGTTTAGATTGGATAAACAAGTAATCTTCTGGTTTTCATTTACTATGTGCTCTCCCATCACACATCAGATGTATTTCATTTCATGTCTTTGTATGTGGGACCTGCACAATAAACAGTGATTCTAAGACCATTTTCTGGACTGATTTATGTCTTCTGTATCAGTAAAACAAAGCACATTTGAGGATCACACAGCATTGCTGTAAGGAATTTGTTTGAGACCAAACAGTGTGCCCTGACCAGCATTAGTCATAAGCTTTTTTTTTTTTTTTTTTTTTTTTTTAAAATATAAAAGTTTTTTTTTTTTTTTTTTTTTTTTAAAATATTGCATGGTAGCGGTCTGCATGGGACCTCCTTCCTTATTAAATAGAGGAATAGACAACAGTACTTGAGGCTTGCATGTGTTTCCTATCAGTATTTGAAAGTTAGCAGAGCTGCTAGGATCAGGCAGACAGCTGGTAGAGCTTGAGTTTCAGGAGATGTTGACACCTGTGGTCTATAGGCCAACTTTGAGGTGGCCTTGATGTTAGCATTAATCGGAAGTGTACAAAGAGCCCTTGCTGTGAAAAGCTTATGTCTAACCAGACAAGAGGAGCAAGAGTGAACGGGAAGGCAAGTATGGTGAGTATAAATACCTTGTCCAGATTCACATAGCCATACATCCACTTTTGTATATCACCTTTTTAAAGGCATTTTTTACTTAAGTCTTAATTTTATGAGAGCAAGGAGATACTGAGGTTTAGAGAGCAGATTGGCATGCGCTAGTTCATGAGGATCAGAGATAGCAGTAGACAGAAAGTAGGTGAAAAGTAGTGCATCTGCCTAACTGGAGCACTCTGTGCTCTGCCATAAGGCATAGGACAGATTATTCTTTACTGAGGCCTGCTTATTAAGTTTAACTCTCTTTATGTTAGACACAGAGGTGTAAGTATGAGATGTGCTAAGGAAGTCGAAAGCATGTAGCAAAATCCCAAACAAAATATGTTTTCTTTTTACCTCCTGTCTTTAAAAATAAATTTTTAGTTTTGGTGCAGGACCAAGTCACAAAGTCAGGCGCTCAAAACTCAGGAAATTCCAGAAGCCAGAGTTCTTACAGTGCTGTTAACTCACTCATGCAGTACTTTGGTAGCATTTTCATTCATGTTTTTCTTTCTAATTTACAATTATGGTGCTTTACTTAGTATTAAGTAAAAAATGTTGCACCATAAAATAGTTAAACTGTGGATAAGATTAGTGCTATGGGAAGAATCTGTTGGAATTTGCAGAACTGAAGTCCTAGTTATTTCCATCTTAGCTTTACATCAGCATTAACTTTTACTACAGTTTAAAATACTCATAAGTAACTGTATAAAAGAGTATTGTGTAAACTAATGCATAATAGCAGAAATCAATATTAATCTACTTTATTAATCTCCTTTATATATATATTCTATATAATATCCCTATTTATCCCTTCCATATTTATTCTGCTAAAAATGGCTAATTGACAATTACATGTATTACTATGTTATTTAAATTTATAAAATCCATCTCTAAAGCTAAAATGATAAAAATTGTTTGATTTATTTCAAATGAACACAATGAGAATTGTCCTTTATGGTTCAATCTCAGTGCTTTATTATGTGCAATTTTTGAGATCCTTTGTAGGACTGAAGACATTACCTAAATCCTGCTGTGAAGGCAGATATAGTCCCTGCCAGCAGCCTAAAAGGGAGTAAAGGAGAGATTCTTCACATGCCTGGCTATGGCTAAAGAACCAAAGAGAAACAGCTTCTCTAAAGGAAATTGCTTTTCAGGCAGAACTGGGGAGCAGGTGGAGAGGGAATGAGCGCGACTGCTTTTGTCACAGGCATATTTTTATGGAGGGATGCATTCCCCTTCACTGTTTCTACATGAAACAGCATTGGCTGCTGTCTGTCCTTATTTACTTTTATGGCATTATAGTAGTGTCTGATAACATTGGTAGCATCATGAGTGTTGATATACATTAAGTTATTTGGTGCTTCTTGTTAGCTGATAAGATCAGAAGCTCAACGCTACTGCGTTTAGAC